AAATAAGCATCCATAATCTCTCACCAAAGCGGATCATTCTGTCACCACTCACTCCAACCCACTCCATCAGGGCAACACTCCAACATGGGTTCATGTGCTGAAGTGCATGAGGCACTATTCCAAGTAAACCAGGGCCACTGAGACCTATATTAAACCAAAGTCCCCTGCAACTTTAAGAGAGCCCCAGATAGCTCGCCAAGCACACAGAGCTGTCTTTGTCCCAGCCCTGCTGCTGACATAAGGAGCAAAAGCACATCCACTGTGCACACAAGGGCGAAAGCACAGATGGAGCCATGTCACCAGCTTCCCTCTGCTCCCAGGGTAAACCAATCTCCGGCAGGGAGAAGGGCTCATCTCTCCCCATCAAGGTATTGCCTCCATCCACTCTGCCCCAGAGCTCTGCTGGCACAATGGAGAAGTTCATCCCCTCATCCGGGTTACACAATGAACAGATAACAACAGACATATCACCCAGCAGAGTGCAAACCATGTACTCTGTAATTCCACTGTCAAGACCAACAGCCTCCAGCATCTGTTGGTGCCAGAAAGGCTATAGCCCAAGTTAACACACACAGCACTACAGAATCTGTCAGGAGATGATGATGGTTGGATGGGGCTTGGAGCAACCTGCTCTAGCGGAAGGTGTCCCTGCCCGTGGCAGGAGATTGGAACCGGATGAGCTTTAAGGTGCTTTCCAACCCAAACTATTCTGTGACTCTGCCATTATTCTGTGACTCTGACGTTACATAGATTGTGTCAGGACAGTGCAATGCAACATTCACTCAAAGTATCCACCTTTAAGAGATAATAGGGTTTAGGATGGAAAACACGAAGTTACCAACAGATAAGAAGTAACTGACAATTGCCTCAGGGAGGGGGTGAGACAGCGGCTGACAAAGATTTGTCTTACTTGCACTGATGCAAAAGATGATTTTCCTTTGTTAACTGAGGGTTTCCCTGGTGTCATTTCAAGGACCTTTCAAATCACGATTTCAAGTGGAAACTCACTTTAATGCACAAATCCAAAGCAAAGTGACATCGCCACAGTTGTGTCTCTCGCTGCAAGGCAGCAGGATGTTGATGCAGGGGCACATCAGTGCACTTCATAAAGCATTGATGGTCTCTAGAGCGTGTTTACTCCAATGTGTGCCAGAGCTTTCATATGTATCACACACCCATCACTTGGCTCTGCAATGCAGGTAACCAAGTGCAGCTCTGCAGAGCTGCTCAGGCTTGAAACAAAGAGGCTGTGGGCCTTGATCAGAACAAGTTTCTATTTTAAAAGTGAACCAAGTGATTTCTTTCTGCTCCGGCCAACCCACAGCATCTGCTATAATGAAACATGTGCCTCTAATGGGCTTAGAAAAAAATCAGTTCCCCGCCTCTCAAACGATCACTAATTGTATCTTGTGTTATGTCACAAGATGTTTCTAAAGAGATCTGCCCTACTTGGGGCAGTTCTTGGGAATATAAACAGGTTACAACACAAACTTAATGGATTTCCTTTGTAAGACTGCAGTAAACAGGATCCGTTAAGAACAAACGTGGCTGCAGATAAAAGTCAGATGCCAGAAACAAGTCACTCAACCTGGAAAAAAAAGGCTTTAAAACCCTGTAAGAAGACATGAGCAGGGAGGGGAAAATGAAAAACAGAAATCCATGGTGACTTGCCAAACTTTTCATCAAGATGCTATTAATACACTGCATATATATATACACACACAGAGAGAGCTCCTGTATACTGAATAACATGTTGGACACCACAAAGTCACCTGAGGGTGCAGGGGATTTCAAACCTAATCTCACATGTTCTGGCAAGGCTTTTCTGCTTATCACAAAGTGACACCTAGGCCAGCCTTGTCTCCAGCGCTGCTGAGCTGCTCTTCCAGGGCAGGAGCTGCTCTGGGTCTGCAGCACTGCCAGGGTGCTGTCCTGCTGCAGTGGGAGTGTTTGGATGTTAACCCTCCATCACATCAGCTTTCCGACCCGAGGCTGCCCTGGCATTCACTGTGTGCATGTGCGTGTGCAAATATGGTACCACATTCAAATCTACATCGTTATCAGCTTGCATGAAAAGGAGATTTTTCATAGCTTCTGAGCAGCAGAAGATACTCAGAATAGGGCACGACCGGAGTCAACCCAAACAACAAAACAAATCCACCCTCTGCCCACTTTCTTTTCTCTTTTCTTTTTGACAGCGAGGAGGGGAAGGGAATTGCCTTCCAGAGATAAGAGGCTCACATGCCTCTTCCTTTCCAGCAAGATCATCTTTAGTCAGCACAAAACAACCGAGTTCAAAAGCTATTCTAAACCAACGTCGTAAAGTTCCCTCCTCACAGCCCCAGTGCCCGTAGGTGATTCAGCACAGCAAATGACAGCACGCCACGTTGAGTGCATTTCTCAGCAGCCTGCTCACATCACACAAGGAAGTAAGTGCTTTCGGAATGCCAGTAAGGGGAGGATCAGATCTTTCTGTCCTAGGAGTTTATAGATATTTACAGTGTTACCTATGTTACAGCTACGCCTTTAAAGGCATGAAAAAAAGAAGCTATAACACAGCCTTTAACCATAGAGACAGGGTTTACATAAGCTGAAGTGATGCAGAAGGTTCAAGCTACTCATTATTTCTTAAAACAAAGCACATATTTACATAAGAGTACACAGAGAGTGCTAGCAACACATCCCAAGGAACAGGCCTGTGAAGATCGGACCCAGCCCACTGGATCACCAATCACTTTTGGATTCCTACACACGATCTAGAGCCGTGTCTTTATTAGCAGAATGTTTCATTTGCCATCTCAACTCAAAGGTCAACATTCCAGTCTAAGCTTCATGAAAGCTCCCAATGGGCAAACATCTGACCACGTCTGTAACTCAATGCTCCTTATCTCACCCACTGCACTGCAGTACATGGGAATCGGGGCATTTATGGAGATGAGTTTCACAGAACTCAATCCATAGGGAAAATTAGGCTGTATTACAGACATCTTTCACACTTTACCTGGAGAAATGATGGACTGAAGACAGGAAAACAAGATAGCATGGAGCACTTATTATTTTATTGAACTCATTTTTGTACACGCTATCAGTTATTTCCACACTACTTTATTTACACAGAATCCAGATTCTGCTGTTTTAATCATTCACCACTACTTAAATAATATTATCAGTGAATTGGCTGCTTTATCAGTTAAACTGGTAACCAGGATATCAGAGAACTCAAGCTTTTATCAATATTAACAGAGATGAAAGCCAGTTGCAAACAGATTGCACTACAGGTGAAGCATCATTACTGCCTCTCTTGTCTACACCTGACATCATTATGGAGCAGTTCTCATGCCATGCTCTTCTCCATTCCTCCCAACACCTCCACCTCATCAGCTCAGAGCAGGCAAAATGAAATGAGGCCAAGCAAGCTGGTGTGATTTGCAGTGGAAGTCTCTGCTCCCTCTCAGCCTCAACAGAAAATGATCTTTAAAGAGGCATCAGGAATTACCTCTTCCCAGCTTTGGCAAAAATTCACGGCATCTATCATGTATCACTCTGAACCTGCTGCTGTGTTTTGCTGGTGCTTGGTTGGGGTTTTTATACATATAATTGTCAACAAGTACCATTCTCTTCTAAAACACAACAATTCACACAGTTTATAGACAAGTTACTTTTGTTATGAAACGTGGAAGCTGAACACCTGTAGCTAGCTTACATGGTGTCCTGATGAATGACACCATTTGGTCTCCTTTCAGTTAACTGGGAAATCGTATTAAAATATGTAAACCTTTATACACACAAAACAGAAGCTGCTAACCCTGCATTTAACATCCATCGCAAGGACAGCAGAAGACTGCTGAAATGCTTAGTTCTCTTCCCTCCCTCACCCCATATTAGACTCTAACCAGAAAGTTATGCGAGGTATGCACTGCAGAGCTGGCTCTTCCGATTCCTAAATTTAATCCTCTTTCCTTTTCCCACATCACCTCCCATACGCACACAACCACACAGCCACCAGGAACATTTGCTGCCCAGGAAATGCCAACAGACTGAGCAAGCCAAGCTGCCCACCTGCTGCAGCTCAGCCCGCTCCACTGCCCTCTCTTCTGCCTGCTCCCAAGAAAGCTTCTGTGCCACAGCATTTCAACACCATCTCAGTAACACAGTGCTCATGTAAACACTGACACTTTAGGCTCCAAGTGTTAAGCAACATTCAGGTTGTACGTAGGTTTAGGCTTTGAATGATGTAATGAATGTTGTGGAGTCCCTTTTCACATTCAGGTTATTCCAAAACAAGATTTTCCTTCAGCTAATCCCATGCAATTCCTCATTCTATCAGTAAAGGTGTACAGCATCATACTAGAATTCTTTACTAGTTCTTCCTCTCCATCTTTTCAGATGAAATCGCCAACTCTCACTGCACCTACACCAGCTGCCTCTGTACTGACAACTTAAATACTTCTACACATCTAAGGCAGAGATACAATACTGCACTTGCTTGCCTATGCTCCCAATCAAACAGAGTAATAAGAGACCAGTAGTCCCATTTACTGCCACAAAAAAGCTGCATTCAGGACAAAGGCCAAACTTCATGTTTCAGTGTGAAATCGCAACACTCCCAAATACTCATTTTTAGTTCTCAGCCTCCAGAAATAATTGGGCTTTCGCTCTCTGGGAAGTTCCTGTGAGTATTCTTGTCAATCAATGTATTTTGTTGCCAGCTGTGACAGTCATGAAGGCTTTTCCCCTCTTAATAGTCCTCACACTTGCAGTGACTACACAAGAACACCGCACTGCAGTAACTATGCTAAAAACTTCACCTTTGAGATATAAGAAGCCACTGAAAAAGAGCACTAGAAACTTTTGCAGATGGCCTCCGTTTCAGAGGCAGTGCAATTGCACACACAGGAACATCCCTGTCCCTTTCAACAGCAAGTTAAGCCTAAGAGATCACACACTCGTTTCCAGCATCACAACAGTCTTGTTCATGGCAGCGAACGGCTCCTACTTACAGATCCCAACAATCACTGAGGGCATGTGTTCCAGGTGCAAGTAGAAGAGGAGATTGTAAAAATTGAAGCAGATGAGAGAGAAGCACAGGATGACCGAGATCCACTCCTGCAGCCTCTTTCCTGTTGAGGAAAAAAGGAGAAAAGGCTTGTTTTAGTTTATCTGAGTGGACATTTTGACATCTGCAATAATACGGACATTCCACTGCCTGGATGACTGACTCCCTTTGTCTGACAGGGAACCAGAACAGAAACTCACTTATCCACAGGAGGTGTGCATATTTTGTTGTGACAGTCTTCTTCCTCCAGCCACTACTAACCCCTTCCCTGTGCCCTTGCCCAAATAACAGGGACAAATCAGACATCATCTGACATTGTCCTAGTTTCCTTCCCCCTGCGGTTGCTGGCATTATGCTCCTCTGCATCACATCCTTTTTCAAATCTCCTTTTCATTCAATATTCAGTATTGCTGGGATGGCTGAATATGGGAACAAATTCTTGGCTTCAGATGCCCTGTAGTTAAGTCACCTCATCATCTGCAGTATTTAGAATCTCAGCGCTTGTAAATAAAGCTGTGGTGCTTGCAGGAAAAAGCATCATCCTGTATTCTGCTGACCCCAGAACTGCTTTCCTGACATTTGAGCTATACTTCCGAAGCTTGCTTAACTCCTGCAGCCTTGTCTTTGCCCTCCCGCTCCCAGGCAGAAGCCTATGACCTCTCAACCACTGCAAGATGAGAGGAGACAGAAAAAGCAAAGAGAAAGATCTGGCAAAAATTCTCTCTTGTACCATGCTGTACTACTACCGTATCTGAACAACCCCCTCTTTTATTGCCTATAAAAAGAGACATATCAGAGTATGGTAACACTTTGAACATTCAGATTAGCAGCAGAAAGCTTCTGCCTGTCAGTCACTGCTAGAGCCTCAGAAGGCACTGATGCCGAGAGCAAGAGAACACTCAGTGCAAGGCCCACATGGATTAAGTCATCAGAAACAGACCTTTAATGCCTAAATCCAAGATGATCTGAGCCACCACCTTGGCCCAGCAGGGCCCTGGCTGTAGTTAGCTCTTGACATGCTCAGGAGCAGAGCCTTCATTCTTCACCTATTTCAGGGGCCAGACAGCACTACTGCCCTTGCCCATGGCCTTCCAGAGCAGTTTAACCCCACTGACCATTCCCACTCTCTCCTGCAGCCTTACACACTTTGTACCACTCCAGCTTGAGGCACAGCAACATGCAGGGGAGCAGTCAGTAAGGACTATGTGCAAGGCGCACATCCTCTCACAGGAGCAGCGGCACACTCACATGTCTGGCACGCGTTCAGGACAGGAGCTTCTTTCCTACCACTCCACTACACTGACCTACTGCCTGATCAAATTTCTCCTCCTAAATGCTAAATCAAGTCACTCTTCTCAACTATCCCGTGCAGTGGAAAGGAAGCTAGGAACACTGAAGGAGGATCAGTGTTCTCTTCAATGTGCCTACAATGCAACATTTAAAGCGCTGTGAACAGAGACTTCTAGAGTCTCTGTTGGTGCAAACCAACATCCTCTGCAGTAGCAGAGAATCCTAAAATTAAATTAGGACACAAGAACAAGCATATTTCCAGGCAGCATCAGGTGACAATGTGGGAAACTATAAAGAGATCCCTGGAGTAATGAAAGTAAGAGTTAATTAATGCTCCCTGCATAAGGAAACCACACCCTGATTAGGGGAGAGAAGTGGGCAGATCCTCACGGAACAATTAGCTGACTGTGGGGAAACACTCGCTCCTTACTAGCGGGTCCCAGGAGTTCAGCCTATGCAAACAGCTCTGTACTCTGAACATGGGATACCAAGGTGACTGCCTGGAGATACCCAAGTCCAGAAACACAAGCCCAGCTCTGGACAGACTGGGAAGGTGAATCAGCCAAAGGAGCACAGTCAGCACCAACAACTTGTGCTTGGATCACGGGTAATGGTTTGTGTTGGAAAGAACCTTAAAGCTCATCCAGTTCCAATCCTCTGCATGGGCAGGGACACCTTCCACTGGAGCAGGTGGCTCCAAGCCCCATCCAACCTGGCCTTGAACACTGCCAGGGATGCTCTCAAGTTTAAAAGTACACCCCACCTGAAGGAATAAGGTGCCAAAGCCAGTAAGTACGTGCTTAAAGAAATAGTGGAAATACTGCAGAGTCATACTCACTCTGCACAATTATATGTAATCCCTGCTCTTAAGACTTCCTGCTCAGTAGTTCAACATCATGTGCTTCCACCGTAACACATATTCTGACATTGTTTATGTAAGTTATTTATGTAACACCAGAAAGAAATGCACATCTAATCTACCAGCACAGCTCACTGCTGATGGGTATCGCTATACACGTGCTGCTCCACAGACTTCCCAGGAACTTACGTCCACAGCTGAAGATAAGAGCAGCAAGTTCTTTGGGGAGGAAAATCTTTTCCTTATGAGCAAGAGCACAGCGCAATTGTAAAGCTGGTGTTTGCTTGTGCGTAAAGCACAGGAACTGGTCACCACCTGGATCAGAGCTGTGCCTCTAGACCAGCTGAAGGACGTCACACACTACGTACTCTAGGGCAAAGAGGTGACCAATGCAAGATGCAATGGGCACACTTGCCCTGAACAGTCTGGAAAAGTGGCAAACTAATGGATGCCTTTGTTTTCTTATCGTTACTTGGCTCTGTGCAAGTGAGAACTCCTGCTTTTCCAGTAATGGCCTTGAACACGCAAGCTAAGGTGCTTGGCTGACCACAAACCACAAGATGGAGAAAACTTATCTTCCGTTTCCTAGTCCTTCACCAGGGAATGAAGGACAGGAATGGCAGGAATACCTGGCATCACTCTCACCCAGCTAAAGACAACGACACACCCCATTATAAGGACTTTACCGTTATTTCCAAGGTATAATCACAGAGCTGCTGCGGCTGACAAACAACAAGCCTCAGGAAGACAAGGCCAAACCAAAGCCTCAAACACCCCCCAACCAGTTCCGAGGTGCCAGGAGTGAATATCTCAAGCAGCCACCAAGTACCCTGAAATGAAAGCTCCTGGGGATAGCACCCGAGCTCGCACGTCTGCGTTTAGATCCAAGGTGAAGGCTGCGTGAGCACTCAAAGGGCAGAGCATTCACCGGGAGCAGGCTCTCGCCAGAGAACCCCCCACGGCAGCGCAGCCCTGAACCAGCCGCACTCTCCCGCCCTGCGCAGGCCGCCAGCGTGCGGCACCGCTAACCCGGGGCTCTCTGCAGCCGCACCGGGCCGGGCCGGGGGGAGCCCCCCGGGGTCCCTTCCTCCGCCCCACCCCTGCGCTACTCCCGCTGCCGCCGCCCTCACCTGGGGAGTAGAGCTCGGCCAGCTCGCGGGCCCCGGCGTGCTGCGCGCCCCACCGCCGGCTGCCGCCCTCGGGCTCCTCCGCGGCCTCCGCCTGCGGCCCCGCCGCCTCCGCGCGGACGCTGTCGGCGGCGCCGGCGCTCGCCATGGCCCGGCCCCGCGGCGGCTGCTGCTCCTGGAGGCCGGCGGGCGGCGGCGGGCGGCACCCAGGGCCCGGCGGCGGAGCTGCGGCCCGCGGCAGCATCGGGAAACGGGGCCGGGCCGCGCCGCTGCGGGAGGGGAGGGGAAGGGAGGGGGGAACGGGACGGACGGGCGCGGCTAGCCACGCCCCGGCACCGCCTCCTGCCTATCGCCGGCGGCACCGCCCTGCCGCCGGGCCAATGGGCAGCGCCGCCCGGCGCGAAGGAACCAATGGCGTGGCGGCAGGCTTCGGCGGCGCATCTGGAGGCGCCCCGCCCCGCCCCGCGGCCCGCAGCTGGCTGTGCCCTCCTGCACCGCCCCCCTGCCCGTGCCTTGCGCGCCCCCTGGCGCCGCGGCTGCCCCGGGGCTGCGGGGTGCCCCGGCGGCAGCCCCGTAACGTGCCGGTGCAGCGCTGCGTCCGCTGGCATCCAGCGGTCCTTTGCCCACCGGTGGCCCCAAAGAAACGCACCCCGGGGTGGGAGAGAAAGCCCCACACGATGTCTCAGTACCAGAGTGTGCCTATGAGCATGATTTCTGCAGCGGACTTACCTGGGCATCAGATAAAACGGCACTAAAATAACAAGTGTTTCAAATAATTAAACAGATTTCACTTAAACATTTAAAATGGATCCATTTGTAGTGGGTGAAATACTAAACCAGGTGTCTGATTGATCATAGAATCATAGAACCATGGAATGGTTTGGGTTGGAAGGGTCCTTAAAGCTCATCCAGTTCCAACCCCCTGCCACAGGCAGGGACCCCTTCCACTAGAGCAGGTTGCTCCAAGCCCCTGTGTCCAACCTGGCCTTGAACACTGCCAGGGATGGGGCAGCCACAGCTTCTCTGGGCACCCTGTGCCAGGGCCTCAGCACCCTCACAGGTGATACTTGTGCCAGGTCACTCGTAGGTTTCCTGACACTGCTTCACTTTCAGGGTGCTGTTTCCACCAGCACTATGCCCATGCGGTGCCAGACCCCCGTGGTGGCACGTTGGGTGTGGCAGCTCTTGGAGCTCCACTGGAGCCTGTGAGTAGAAGATGTCCCAGCCCATGGCAGGGAACTGGATGATCTTTCAGGTCCTTCCCAGCCCAAACCCAAACCATTCCATGGTTCCATAGTCCCACATCTAGAGCAAGGTTACTGAGACTCTGAATGGAACTCTGCACTGAGAGTGTTTCCGGAGGAAAACCTGTGTGCTCTTTGGGGCGACAAGGGCTGTATCGGGACACGACAGACCGCACTGCTGCATCCCTGTAGGGTTTGTTCAGGGGCAGCAGACACCAGGCCCCACCGTGCCGTGCTCATCGCGCTGCCCGCTCCCGGGAAACAGGCCGGGGGCTGTTCGGGCGGCACAGCCGGCGGGGCGGCGGCGCGGCTGCAGCGGCCTCGGGGCGAGCAGCGTTCAAACGCCCGCCCTGCGCGGGCCGGGCCGCCGGTTACCGCCAACTGCCCCGCCCCGGCCCCGGCCCCGCCCCGTGCCCGCAGCGCGCCGCTAGATGGCGCCCCAAGCCCGGTGACGGGCCCGGCCGAGGGGGCGGCGCGGGCTGGGTGCGAAGCTCGGTGCCCGCCCGGCGCTGCCGTGACCCCCGTTCAGCCACAGCCACCCCGGGACGGGGACACGGGACACGCCGACACCGACTGCCCCCGGCACAGCCCTGGGCACTGCCTCACCCTGTGCTGACACCTGCCAGGGCTCCTGGAGCTCCTGCAGCCCCGGCTGCTGCCCGCCACCGGCACGGGCCCGTCGGTGCAGCGCACCCTCCGGGCTCACCTCTCTCCCCTTTGCACTTAGGCAATTCCAGCCTCTTCCCGCGCCACGAGGCACAAAGGGAGCAGAAACTGGCTGCAGCTCCCTTGCTGGGCTCTGGCATGGGAAAGTGTCAGTGGGTGGGAGAGCTGGAATGGCCACTCCTACGGCTCCCGTCTGAAGCTGTAAATGCAAAGACACGGAGACGACAGGGACCAAAAGGCGAGGTGTGTGGAGGATGGTACTCCATGGCTATCCCTGCCTGGTACCCAGTCCACCAAGGCCAGCTGCCAGATGACACAGACCAGCCCAGGGGCTGCTTTTAGGTGCCAGGACTCACACTAACAAGTCCTAACTGATGCCTGGCAGCTCCACTTTCCCCATGGTGCTCGACACAAGATTGAGAGCAGAGGGAAAAGAAAGTATTTGTACAGTCAAGGGCATGGACCTTAATGCTTTTAATGA